AGTTGGATCCACGAAACTCAAGATCAACAATCAATCAACATCATAAGAATAAAAGAAAAAGAAAAATGGTATCCTCTACTTTTTTTTAGGGTGGAGCATCAAGGTTTGTCAAGATAAAATGATCATTAAAGTGAAGATGACCCTTTTTAATATTTTATTTTAAATAATGAAAAGTATTATCCTAAATTCTTAAATTATATATTCAACATAATTATTAGATACGTGAGTTCTTTAAATATACAGTTAATAGTTTGAATTTTTTTTACTATGTGAATAAAGAAAACTTTGTAGATAAACATAAAATCCATTTTAGTAATCTCATGTGTTTAGAAAAAAAAAAATCTAATTATATCAATGAATTTCCTTAGTGTACAATATGGGTGTCTACTTTTCAAGGTTAACAAATTTATTATAAATATGATTGAATTTCAATGCTTAACTATTTAATAATGTCAAAACGTATTTTTTTTTCTGAATATAAATGATATATAATAAAGAAGACTACAATATTTTAAAGTAGTGGAATATGGTACGTATAGTTTAAAAATTCAAAGGAAAATGATTTACCCTTATGTAACGTGTTTTTTATGAGAACTAAAGTAAATTTTGAGTTATTAAACAAAAATGTAAATTTAAATAGTTTCGTGAATTGTTAAATTTTATTTTATAATGGTTGAAATATATTTTTTTATAATTGTGTCATTTTATTAATTATTTTGAGGAATTCAATAATTGTTTATGAGTTTAGTCTTAATATACTATCAAAGCATTTTGTATATATTTTTTTAACTGAAATATAAATAAATTTATATATTTTTTTTAACTTTACCATTGATCATTCAAAAACACTTCGATTTTGAACGAGGACACAAATTGATGAAATTTCTAATGATTAATCATTGACTTGGAGACTTAAACTCCGAGATGAAAGGAGTTTGAAACTTAAGATTTAAGACATATTTTAATAAAATATTTGTAATATATAAGAAAATTATCAAATTACATAGTTGTAACTTACACGATTCAATGTTTTTAATTGATTTTTTTTTTCAAAACTCAATGTTAAACATTATTTATTACATATACAATTTTAGTATTAATATAAAATCATTTAAAATCTTATTTATATAAATTAAAATTAATATAATATATAGTAAAACATGAATAATTTGATTAGTTTCATGTTAATTTTAACAAAATTTAATATAGATAACCATGAATATATAAAATTATAATTTACTAATTAAGTTGACAATTTTTTTTATATAAAGTTATTGATGTTTAACATTTGTTAAAGTTTACGTGGGTATATATTTGAAATTTATAATAACGTTAATATTAGGATGATAAAACGAATTAGTCCGTCAACTCATTATAATATGATAGGCGGATTTGTGTTTTTAACTTGTCGGACTAATCCGCGGGACGGTGTTAGTCAGTCCACGACTCACCTAATTAATAAAAAATATTTTTTTATTGTAATACACAATTATTTATAAATATAATATATAAAATTAAAAATTGTAAAAAGATAATTAAAAACATTTCACTCTCATTTGTTTTAAAAAATATTCTCTTTACTTAAATACAATTTTTTCTCTTCTCATTGTTGCTAATTATTTTCTCTTTTTGGTTCTAAACACTAATTATTTTTATCATTATTATTTAAATTAAAAATATAATAATTACTCAAAGGAAGTAAAAATGAAAAGTTTTATCAAATAAAAAAAGTAAGTATTTAAAAATTTAATATAAAAATTATAAATTTTACAAATTTTATCGTTATTTATATATATTTGTTATTATTTATTATTATATATATTTATTATTGTTATAAATTATAAATTTTTTAAATAATAGGTTGATTTATATTATTAACTTAATATATATATATATATATATATATTAAATTATTAATAAACAAGATAATCTTATTATTAAATTTATTGAAAATTTTAATTTAAAAAAATATTTTTTAAATTATGATCAACCTATTAATTAACGAGATGAGTCATTTTTAACAATATCTCATTTTTAACAATCAAGAGGATACATTAACCCGTTTTGACATCTAGTGAATATTTATAATATATAAATTATGTTTTATATTTTTTAATTAATAATTTAAAATAATGATACAAGTTACTTTTAATTATTGATTTTTTTTTAATCTTAACTACATTTCAGTATAGTAAATGTATAACTTAAATTTTTAATATTTTAATTGTGATTATATGATTTTAATCCTTCCATCAAAATTTTTTTGTTAATGCAAAACAAAAATAACCTTGGTATTAAAAGTTGTTTAATTTCCGCGCCTTTCCTGCGTGTTTTTGGAGTGTGGTTAATTATCATAAAACCACCCACGTTGTCCAAAATAAATTCTGTGCACTAAATTTGACGGTTTTGTTAGTTGTTTTGCCCAATAATTAATCTTGCTCGTGTTGTAAATGAAGAGGCATATACAACAAGGAAAAACTTATTTAAAAACAATATTAGTTTTTTTTGTCTTCAATAATTATTTTTAGATACTGTTATTATAATGTATTGTTTTTTTTTAATTTGTAATATGCAAAACGCATTACATAATATTTACATTATGGTATTAATGATATTTTATTTATTTTAAAATACGAAGGTTAAAACCTAATATTCAACTAACTATTGAAATAAAACTTAATAGTCGATGTTTATTGTTTATATATTTTCAGAACATGTGATTTATTTTGGCGTAAAAGTTATTTATTCTCCGTGGCTTCTCCGCACGTTTTTGGAGTGTGGACATAATTTCATAAAGTGACGTTGTTGTTGTGTTTTTTTTAACAAAGTTGTGTGCAGTGAATTTGCTGGTTTTGTCGAAGAAAGAACCAGGAAAACGCATCCCCTCCCTCCCATATGCAAACTGTGGACTCACAGATTCAGGACGAAATTCATACTTTCTGTAAAAGTAATATATTTTTTTTATAAAAAATAATTTAAAAATATTTAAAAATGAGAGATATATTGTATATCATTAGAATCCCTCACGTCATTGTTACGAGATAGATATTTGCACACCACGATAAATCAATGCACACCATTTCTTTAGTTTCTGTGTGTTACCCTGTTGTTATCGTTTATTTATATATTATTTATTTATGAATTTTACATAGCTTAAAAAAATTATATATATTATTCTTTTGTAATTTACTGAAATACTTTTTAAAAATAAAATCATAATAAATAATTAATTTTAAATTAATAATTAACAATTCTTTTATATTTAACAATATATATTTTAAATATTATAAATTTTGAAATATTTATACCAAATATTTTGATATTATTTGAGTACCAATTTATTATGCGATTATAAAAAAATACTTCAAAATATCCATTTAACGAATTTGATCTCAACTACTTACCATAATTTATTTTCAGAATTTAATTTCTTTCACACATTTTATATTCTCTTTACTCACGTATTTGCTAGAGCATTGAACATAATATCTTTCTAAACTTATACTATTTATTAAAAAAAGCTCGAATATTTTTTCAAACTCCGGGAACAATAATAATTATTTTATATATATTATTGAATAATTAAACTTTGAAAATCGAAGAAAAAGGAATCGTAGGTGAAGTTGAAGTGAAGTTGGTTGATATGGGTAGCTAGCTATGTCCCAACCCATAACCGTGTGTGTTTTGAAGTGGAAGTGAGTTTGTTTCCACTGGGTTGAAAGCGACCCAACCTCCAAGCCGCGTCTAACCCTAGTTCCCATTTTTTAAACCTAACCCAACCACACGCTCTTCCTTCTTCCACCTCACCACACTCTTCTCAATATTTTATTCCAAGAAGAGCAAATTCCATTTTGTCACCAATGCCCTCATTTTGTGACTTTTCTTCCACTCCATTTTTTATTCACGAACCAATCTCTCCAAATAATTATCCCTCTCACCAATTTCCATGTTCACTCTAGTTTATTGCAATCTTCTTCATCAAAATTGCTCACATGGATTAAGAGGGTGCTTCATAATGTTCATATGTGGACCTTATCTTATCAGAGTTTTCAATTTTTAAATACTTCCTATTTTGGACGTCACTGTGTTTAATTTGTTGCGGATTTGTAAATAGTACGTCCTCCAAATCAGTGTGAGCTTATAAAAAATAAAAATGATAGATAATGTTATGAGATACGAGGGTGTTGAAATATTACAAAGTTTTTCTTTTCATTTTCTATCGCATTATTATATTGATTATTTCTTTGACATATTTTATTTCCATCACGAAATATTTTTTTTACCACCCTAAAATAAATTATCATTGTGGGTGTAGAATAAATAAAATTATTAGATTTCAGCTAGTTCTTCTAGAAACAACTATTTTTAAAGAATAACCGGTGTGTTTAAAACATAGGTTCAAGTTTATAAACAATATGAGTTATTTTTATGCATATGGAAAATTGAATTTTAATATTATTTTTATAAACAATATTATTTTATACATTAACATCACATTATAACAGATAAAAGTAAAATCAAAAGAAAATAATTAAAAAAATGTATTCTCTTTATTACTAGTTCAAATAATTTATTTTTTGACCTTCTCGAATAAATACATACATGCAAAGAAAATATTGGAAGAAAACAAAACCCCTTCGAAACGAAGGAGAATAAATTGAAAAGGGTGGAAAATTGGAGCGTTTTACGTTTTTTCTACCCAAAAAAGAAAGAATGAAAGAAGGAAATAACCCCAAAGAAACGTTTTAATTGGAAAAGCGCGTGAGTAAACGCACAGGTCCATGCGCTGTGTCTTTTGAACGCTGTACTTATCTATACGCGCACACACACATCTTCCACCCACGAAACAAACAGGTAGTTATATATAAACAACCTCTTTGGCTGTCCCATACCATAATTTATGTCTGTTGCTTCTTTCTTCTCATCTTCTTCTTCTTCCCTTTAATATTGTTATTCCACCGTGCGAACACAACTCCAACAACAAGAACAAGATTTGAGTTATGGGTCTCTTCCTTTCTCGGAATTTGGCTTGCAAATTCATATACCCTTTTCTTTTCTCTAAGAAAGTTTCCAAGGATTTGTTTCCTAAGCAGTTGGAGAACATGATGTCTCTGGTGTCCCCTCGTACTGGCAGGCATTTGCAGCGATACGACCAAGGATGTCGCCAAGTTGTGGGGTGTGTTTTTGTTCCTCCTGTGACTTTTTACTCTCTGTTTCTTCTTCCGGGGTTTCATCAAGTTCGGATTTTTGGGTGTTTTTTTCGTCCTCTAAGTAATTGTTTTTATCAAAGTAGGCTTACACTATGCAGGGATTGGTTTTTAATTTAAACTTGTCGAAGTTGGAAAGTTATATTTGAAATAAGTGTTCTAAGGACCAAAAAGAAAAGAAACATAAAGCAGATTTTTGGAAACGAAAACTAATTTGAAAATAAGAAAAATTTAATTTGAAGATGGAGAGAAGTTTTGAGATTTACAAGTTTTCTCAATTGGGGGCTATATTTTTTATTTTGGTTTTTTGTAAAAGGGTTGAAAGCGTGTCCTTTGATTTAATTATTGGAAGGCCGGTGGGTTTGAAGTTAGATTTGTCCTTTTCTATTGGGTTGTTAACCTGACTTGTTCTCTGGGGTGTTTTTGTAAATGAACAGGTGCATTCCTTACAGATACAAGAACAATGGAACAAAAGATAAGGAGTTAGAGGTTCTTGTGATTAGTGCTCAGAAAGGTCATGGAATGCAGTTCCCGAAGGTATTGTTTTGTCCTCCACATCTTGTATTGTTTTTGCAACCGAATTTCGGTTCATTTTCAACCCTTTTTGGTCCTGTCGCTGATGTTAATGTGTTGTTTGGCCTCAGGGAGGTTGGGAAATTGATGAATCCATGGAACAAGCAGCTTTAAGGGAGACTATAGAAGAAGCTGGGGTCATCGGCAGTGTTGAAGTAAGTGTGTGTTTCTGTGCAAGCACTTTTTAGTTTGAAGTTTTCTTCAGCTCAAACTATTGTACCCTTCATTCTTACTTATGTGTGGTGTATGTTTCTTGCAGAGTAATTTGGGTAAATGGTATTACAAGAGCAAACGCCAACCCATAATGCATGAGGGATACATGTTCCCTTTGCTTGTTAAGAAGGAATTGGATAACTGGCCAGAGATGAACTCAAGAAAACGAAGATGGGTAAGTGTTTAGCCCAAATTCAGTTGTCCAATTGACTTTCCCAATAGCAATATCTTAATTATTTAATACTGATTTTGCTAGTGTCCTAATGTTCAACTGATATGCATCATGCAGATGACTGTGGCTGAGGCAAAAGAAATATGCCCTTATGCTTGGATGAAGGAGGCTTTGGATGTATTGGTCATGAGACAAACTCAGCTGCACTCCAAAAAGGATCTGGATATGAGTAGGTTGTAAATTGTGTATGGTGTGTCTGGTTTCACTTTTCAGATGTGATTTTTCACGCCTAGCAAGGGAACTAGTAGCCGTAGCTTTTTACATCTCTAAAGTGAATTCTTACTTCTCAACGAATATCCAAACACGCATGTAGAAGAGTCTTGCTTTTGGTATCCACTAAGTGGTATAACAGAAGCACTCACAAGCTGTTAATGAAGAGAAATTATGACATGAAAGTCATGAAGAGGGAAACTGCAGTTCAAGGTCACAATTTCTCCTCTCAGTTTGTTTCTGTCTTCAAACTGGCTATAGTTTGAAAGTTTAGCAGCAGTTTATGGATTTGTAGTGTGTAGTTGGGATCCTAGCTATAGAAATCAGCCGTAGATGTACAAAATCAATTCATTCTTTCATTCATTTGATTCTTTTGTAATGTATGAGTAGTTCTTGTGTAGAACACATTCTTGTACCCGAAAAAATAAAATAGAGTAAATTCCAATTTGTGACTGAAAACTACACTTGGTATCTTCTATTACTATCACCTATCTATCTGAGACAACTCCAAGGGTCACAAAACACACCAATACAAGTTATACTTGAAATAATAATATTATTTGGCTAACTTTTCATATTCTACTTAAAAATGGTAAGACAAAGTAAACGTATTACAGTAGCTTTCCTCATTAGATAATGTAACATCACAGGCTCAATTTTGATCTGATTCCTCAGTGCATCAAACACTTCATTTGAGAAAATTTTAATGTTTTTCCAATAATTCAACTTGAATGGAACTGCGGTTCATAAAGTAGGGGCACATCATAATATATGTGTAGATGTTTGATATCAGACTCTGAAACCAAACACGCAACAAAATTTGAAGTCAATTATTGTGTTGAGTATCATCAAACCGTGGAATCTTTGCTGCAAAACCTTTGTGGTTATGTCAAGCGAAGATCAGGTCAGGTGGTTGTTAAGTGAGAACAAAGACAATGATTGAGTAGAGAATATACCCACATTTATATTTAATCATCTTCCTTCAATCACAATTCATTTAATTTTATTTTTGTCTCATTGTTCTCCATAGTTTTAGCAAAATGGTAAAGTATAAATAAAGTGAATCCCTTTCTCCTAATCATATTTAATTAAAAGTTCTCATCTTTGAGTCTTATAGATAATATGCAATTATTACCACCTTCTACTGTAAAACTTTGAAACAATCCTAAGAAGTTTCGGTCATTAATTTCAAAGTTTAAAGTGAGAGAAAGTTATTATTCTTTTTTTAAAATATCATTAGACAAAAAGTAAGACTTTTTAATTTAGGCCGGCAATCTCCAATTAGCTATTTTTTTTGGGTTGAATAAATTAATTTTGTAAAGTTCATGATTTATTAATACAATTAATTATGGACGGCCCGTATATTTTAAATAACAAAAGCGATTATACAACCACACCAACCCCCAATACTTATATGAAAATTTTGTTTTTCTAGAATATTTCAAGATTATCTTATCTTTATAAACAAACATAGGCCTTGTATATTTCAATAGTATTTGTAGTGAGTGATGAAAACATGGTACATGATAAAAGACAAAGAGATACTACTTGGTCAAACAATGAGATGATTAGGTAACAACATTATTACACGATTCTTATTGGCTAACGAAAAAGGTTGATGGAGATGTGTAATGCATTTATCTCTCCCACTCTGTGGATGGCACAGGGTTTGAAGCCAATCATGCTTGGCAAGTACCTTTCCAACGATGAATCATGCTACAATTCTCATATCACAAGTGAGTTTACAAATTTGAGAGTTTTCCACTACACAAAGAGACAAAACTCTTGGGTCGTATACTTGTTTTGTTTTGTGACCATGAGTATAAGGTGTTGGTCAAAGGATGTTGATGAGAAATGAGTGAGTTATTGGAAAGTTGTTTGAGTAACTATTGTCTGAGACTTATCATTGTATATAATGTGTGTTGGGAAGAAAAAATGGAAGTTATTTTGGCACTTGGAAATTGATAGTGCAGGGTCAATTTCCAAATTAGTTAATTGCATTTTTTTTATACTAATGGTGACTAAAGGCAAAAGAAATCAGAAAAAAAAAAACTTGGAATTGCTTTTCCAAATAGGATATTCCTAAAAGAGGATAATACGGCATGAGAAGAAGAGTAGATGATTTTACAACTAATGTGTACATCATCAACATAGTGGCTAAGAACATCATCTACAAAGAAAAACCTACCACTTTGTCTACCATATTTTTTGATAATGTTTAACACTTTTCTACGATATCATAACTTAGTGAAATTGTTTATTTTTCCAACTAGTATAATAATGTTCTTGGTGGACTTTTGTCCACAATCCCAACATGTCATTAGAACCCTAGTATTTGGATTGTCTCGTATCCTACCCTTTTATTTTATTTTATTAATAGATGTAACAAATCCCAAGTTAGTGTTGAATTTTTTTCAAATGAAATTTTAATAGTAAATTAAAAGTTGTATTATTAATATATTTAGTGTTTGCCATTTTAGATGAGAACCAGTTGTTGTGGAAAGCAACCCAAAACATAAATGGACCCATTGAAGTGACTCTAATGCATCAACACATCCACTAGCCTCCTAATCTATATGATGAAATTTCATATGGGATGAACTTAGCACAAGATCAAGATGATGTAGAAGGATGAGAAGGGTCCATCTCCACCATGATCATTGATCACCCAATAGGTAGAACCATATGTAACCACCACATGATACCATCTAAGTTCTTCTTGAACAATTGAGTATGTGCCAACTTTCCAATTAATCATAAAAACAGAAACTTCTAGAAAATCTCTAGTGACACCTTCATAACATGTCTTTGGAGGGAAAAGACTAGCTCATCAGCATCTGAAAATAACATTTTGCGTATTTGTTTTACTTTGAGACTACGAGTGTGTGGGTCAATGGATATTATGAGAATGAACTTTTGGAAATTTAAGTTTGTAGATACGTGTAAGGAGAGTAAGGAGAGATGCACTCAACTACTATTTGAAAGGCACATTTATTGATGATATTACAGAAAGAACCATTTTATTTCACGACTAGTATCATGGTATTGATTCTTGTTTTCCTTCAGTTAAGATAGCCATGTTTGATGGACACGTAACTAGAAGTTCATTTTCAAAACCTGATAGAATGTGCCGTACCAGTGATATCCATATACTCTTCTTTCATTCACATTTGTTTTTTTCATGTACAAAACAGATAAGCTCTACAATTTTATAAAGCTAACTAGTATCGCCAATAAGAATTCCATTAAAATGTGATCCTTTTAAAGAATCTCATTCTTTTCTACATCTCTTTTCTTGGCTCAATTCCTTAAAAGTTATCACGAAAACAAACCATAGTCTAAAGCTACAATACAACTAATAATGCCAGCAAAATATCAGCAACTTTAACACCTAAGTCAAACCAGACTATGCAAACAAAATATGCTTTTACCTTCAGCTAGTTCGTTTGTAAAAACCAAGAATAGATTAACAAAGAATCAAGAAAGCTACATTTCATAAAAGGCTTCACAGAAAGCTACGTTCCATAAAAGGCTTCACAGAAAGATACATTTCAGAGAGTCTCTTGTTCTGTCATATGTGAACAAGGCTTGAATAGAAATCTACAAGAAAGAATTGAAAGAAAATCTCTCAAGAAAACTCAAGCAACAAAGCATACGCCAAATCATATCCATCAAACGGGACAATTGTCACACCCTATAAAATATAACCCTTAAAATAAAACGATGCATCACGATGACTTGGTTGCATCATAGTGTACTATTGGAGGATCACAGCACAAGCTTGGTACAAAGAGAATGATTTTGGTTGGGTGAGCTTAAGACCCTTTGGCCAAGACCACAAGAATACCACATTCCTTCAAGCAGTGTTTGAAGGGCATAGTGTGATTAGGCTAAAAGCTAAACAATTTGATGAATATGAAGAGGGGACAAATGTTGGGATTTACAATGACTTGGCTGTGGATTTTGACCTTAGAATCAGAGCCAACCATGGAAGGTTTGGGAGCAGTAGTTTCAGTCCACCCATTGTTCAGTGTCGCAGTTTGAGGGTTCCTTTGATTTCTATTGCTAAATCAACACCTCCATTTAGTGTCATCAAATGCAACACTGGGGCTTTCTTTGGTTCAGGTATCCTCTTTTGGAGGAGGCCATCATATTCAAGATATTATCATACATTAAATCTAGACACTTCGTTTAACAAGGATTCCAAACATGATTCACCATATTATGGAAGACTAAAACGCTCCACTGAACCCAACTTCATTGGCGTTGCAGCACTGGTTATTTCTTCTCAGATCGTGTTGATTATTAGAATCCTCTATGATCTATAAAATTTAAGCTGACCAGGTCAATTTGTACACAATTTTTCCAATATATCTTCATTAAGTGTATGTTCTAACTAGAATTTCTACATTTACAATAACCTATTACCCAGTAAAGGCCCTCATCAGTGATTTAATCACAAATATTTTCTTACTATTGTCAATTGCATGTTCAATAGAATAAGCATAAAGGGTTATTACTATGCTTGTTCATTTCTCATGAAACTTTAATACCTCGGAGCAGAGTAAAAAGCTCAAGTTACATTAGATGTTCTAACAAAAATAAAGGTGTCCAATATGTAGTGGTTGATTTCAAGACCTTTTAATGTGATGCATAGTTTCTTGATACATTCTTTTGAAGAATGTATGCGCAATTCATTTGACCAATAGTACATAATAAGCTAAAGACCAATGTGCTGATATACATTGCTACATTCCACAGATGACAGAAGTAACAACATTAGAGATAAAAGAAACTGTCTTCCATTTTAGAAATCCATGGCCAGAGCTTCGTCATTGATCATGACAGTATATGTTTTTGAATTGTAAGGCCTATTAATGGTTACAACGATGGATAATTAATGAAACATTTCCATAGTTTTCAAGATCCAATACAGTACAATCACATTTGCTGCATATACCTCAGCATTATTTCTTGCATTCCATCATATTTCCCTGTATGGTTCAAGCACTATTCTCGAACTATTCAGCCAAAATAAATTGCATCTAAATAATAATCCTGACTCTGGTAATGATACCAAAAACCATGACTGTTGGCAACAAGTCCACCCTCAAACAGATTTGAGAGTACGTGAAAAGGGAGATACAATCAATGGGAGGGTAAATTAATTATTTCTAATGGAAGAATGATACCAAAACAATTTCTTAGTTCAATCTAAGTCAATATAAGAAACTTCATTTGCTTCTATCCAAACTAAAATGTGAGTCTTCTGCAGAAACTCACTCCTTATATCTCTTTTCTATACTGAAACGCATATTCCTGAAAGATTACTACTAAAAAACCAAAATAACCCGATCTTTGAAAAAGGTTCAATTAATTATGCCTCAATAATCTCTAGGAAAATATAAACTTTGTCACCAAACTCAATATCAAGGTTCTCTAACTCCTCGAGTTTACTGTCCTAAACAGAGAAAACAACTTAATTCGTTATCATTTTTTTTTTCTGAATAAACTTCAGCAAACTTTTTAAACTTGTAATAAACTTCCACAAACTCTCGAGTAATGAAGCAAACAAGGAGATTGAAATCAAACATAACTTATGTTTTATGAATTATACATATCTATACAGTTTAATCTCATTTAACACTAATGCGTTGTCCTTTTTTTTGTAATTATTATTATATTAAGAGTATTATCTATGGGAAGACTTGGTAAGATATATTCATAAACTTCAAATACTATGAAACTAACATTAATTTAATCTAAAGTTTAGTTGAACCTAAAACTTGTCCTCTCCTTCTAAGGCTATAAAACATGGATATTTTAGCTTGTTCTATATGTTCACATTTGATATACTCACACAATGGCATACTTGACAGATAAGTATGATTTCAATAAATTTGTATGATACATAAATAGCAAAAGTAAATAATATAAAATCATTGTCAGAAATGAAATTGGTTCTATTTCTGTAGTAAACTATAAGAATGTGTGAATCCCTATGTGTTAGGAATCTGTCAATCCTTATGTTTTGTATAGAACAAGAAAATCTCCCTTGGAAAAGTTCATGGAAAAAGCATATGCCAAACTCATCCATATCAAACTTATTATTACATACCAAAATGTTTCATCATTGACAATATCTCAAATCAACGTAACAATGCCTTGCAAACCCCGCTGCAGTTTTCGCTGCATCTACGGCACAACCTGCTTCTTTATATTCATATTCATGCTTTCCTTCTTCCTCTTCCTGATAATCATCAACCCCTTAAGAGTCAAGTTCTCCATAACTGAAGCCTCTCTGACACAGTTCAACCTCACCAGCAACAACACATTGTATTACAACTTCAAGGTCAATATCACTGTGAGAAACCCTAACAAGCATGTCATAGTGTACTACAGGAGGATCACAGCAATAGCTTGGTACAAAGACAATGATTTTGATAGGGTGAACTTGACACCCTTTGACCAAGGCCACAAGAACACCACCTTTCTTCAAGCAGCTTTTGAAGGGCAAAGTGTGATGAGGCTCCAACCTAAACAACTTGATGAGTATAAAGAAGAGACTAGTGTGGGAGTTTACAATGACTTGGCTATGGATTTGGACCTTACTATCAGAGTCAAGTTTGGAATGTTCGAGAAGGGACAGTTCAATCCAACCATTGTTCAGTGTCGTCTTTCGAAGGTTCCTTTGAATTTTAATGGTAAATCAGCACCTTCTTTTAGTGTCATCAGGTGCATCACTGGTAGTTTTCTTCCAAGATAGAAATCCTTATTAAAATCTTGTATACAACCTATGAAAATCTGTGTTCATAATGTCAATGTTTAGACAATTTTTCCATGCTAACTCAATCTGCATGCAGAGTTACATGAAGTATTACATGAGTGTACATGATTGTATACTTGCATTACAAACAAATCCTCATGGTTGTACCATAAAGAAAAAAGAAGAAGAAGAAAACTGTTGGGAAAAATATGCTGAATCTTCTCATATGGTCAGATCTGTGAAAGTGAAATAAAAGCGGAATAATTGCACACACAAGTTGATAACGGAGTTCGGCCAATAATGCCTACGTCTCCGGACTAGTACAGATCTCTTTTTAGGAGAAAAGAAAATACACAAGTGTTTACAAAACACTCCCAAAACACTCACAACTCACAACCCAATTACACCCAGAAGCTAAACTAAAACTCTCTAGTTTTTCTGCCTCTCACTGGTGCCACTCTTTTCTTCTCTAAGAGAAGTAATATTTTGTGTGGGATGGGATGATTTTGCTTGCAGGAAGAAGACCAATTTATAGCAAAAATTGGTACTGTGCATTGCAATAAAATATGCCTCGTGCACCTCATGCTTGCATAAAAATTTGGCAGTAAGAATTGAAAAATTTGGCAGCCACTTTCTTTGATCAACAATCTCCCACTTGAGGACCGATTTCAATCTGTCCTCACACCTTGATCAATAGTAGTCTTCTCTTGTCTGTTATCCTTGTAAGCTAACTGAAGTTGAGCACAACTTCAGTTTGTCAATAGTCACCACCTTTGTTAGCATATCTCGCCGGGTTCTTACTTCCCACAATTTTCTTCAATGTTAGCATCTCATCCTCAAGTAGAGATCCGATGAAATGATAACGTATGTCGATGTGTTTAGTTCTGGAGTGAAATGCTGAATTTTTTGCCGATGTATTGCACTCGACTATCACCGTGCAAAACACTCCTTTCTTGAATGAATCCCAACTCGCCAACAATCCTTGAAGCCATATCAATTCTTTATCGGCTTCGTCATCGCTACATACTCAGCCTTCAGTAGTGGATAAAGCAACAATCTTCTCGTATCCGCGACATCCAACTAACAACTGTAGTTCCAACAAGTAAACACATACCCAGTGGTGCTTCTTCTAAGTGATCAACTTCACCTCCAAAGTGTGCATCTACGTAGTCCCGCAATTTTAGATCTCCTTTTCTAAAATACATACATTTTTCTCGTCAGTGCCTCGTAGATACCTTAGAATCCATTTGACCGCTTCCCAATGAGCTTTTCCTGGATTTGTCATGAATCTCGCTTACAACTCCCACCGCATGGCCAATGTCCGGCCTCGCATGCACCATCGCGTACATCAAACTTCCAATGGCCGAAGCATACTGAATCTTAGCCATTAACTCTTCTTCTTCCTTTGTTTGAGGAGACCGATCCTTGGATAGACGAAAATGGCAAGCCAAAGGTGTATTGACTGGTTTGGCATTGTCCATGTTAAATCTCTCGCAAAACACGGTTGATGTACTCCGCTTGAGATAACTCGCAAAACTCCTTTTTGCTTATCTCTCGTGATTTGCATTCCAAGAATCTTCTTTGCTCGGGCCTAAGTCCTTCATGTCAAATTCTTTTGACAACTCGCTTCTTTAAGTTTATGATCTCATTCATATCTAAACCTCGCTACTAGCATATCATCAACATAAAGTAGCAAAATGATATAACCGGACTTATACCTCTTGAAGAAACAATGTTGATCGCCGTTGCACTTCCGAAAACTCTCCTTGTGCATGAAGCTTTCGAACTTCTTATACCACCGTCTTGGAGCTTGTTTCGTGCCATACAAGCTCTTTTTCAATCTCGCACACCAAGTTCTTCTTTCCTTCTGAAAACCTTCAGCTCGGTGCATGTAGATCTCCTCATCTAAATCTCCATGAAGAAATGCGGTCTTCACATCTAATTGCTCTAGGTAGAGCTCCTCACTAGCCACAATACTTAACACAGCTCCCGATAGTATTGAGCTTTACAACCGGAACAAAGATTTCAGTGTAGTCGACTCCTTCTTTCCGCTGAAATCCTTTGACGACCAGCCGAGCTTTGTATCTCTTAGAACCATCATGGTCTTCCTTCACTCGATACACCCATTTGTCAGTGAAGTGCTTTCTTTCCCATAGGTAACTTGACTAGTTCCCATGTCTCGATTTGAGATTAAAGACTTCATCTCGTCTTTCATGGCAAGCTCCCACTTGCTAGCATCCGTGGCTTGACAAGCTTCCGTATAATCTTCGTGCTCCCTCCATCGACCAACAACATGTAGTCCATGTATCTCCCGTTAGGCACATGAGGCCGAGAAGACCTTCTCAATACAGGAGTTGGAGTAGGAGGTTCAGCCTTGCACATCAAGTTCTTCAACCGATTCCTCCGGCCGAGGACTCCTCATTATAGGACTTTCTCGGGATATCTTCCACCTCTCGCATAAACCGGCCCACTCGCTTCGAGTTGCCGGCACCCGTATTATGCCTGTCCTTGTACATCACTCTTTCATTGAAGATTACGTCTCTGCTGCGGATCATCTTTTTATTTTCATCGTCCCATATGCGGTAGCCAAACTCATATTCACCATAACCAAGGAAAGTACATTTCTTTGATTTTGGATCAAGTTTGTTTTTGCCTTGATCACTGATATGCACATATACTACACAACCAAAAACTCTAAGATGTGAGAGTTTTACCTCTTTTCCGCTCCATACCTCTTCTCGGTATCTTGTGCTCCAATGGTACCGATGGACTTCTGCTGATCAAGTAAGCCGTCGTGTTGATTGCTTCGCCCAAAACCGCTTTGGTAAGCCTCGATCGCACACGCATGCTTCCGGCCCTTTCGACCAACGTTCGATTCATACGCTCAGCCTACACCATTGTGTCGAGGCGTACCCGCACGGCTCTCTCCATTCCGATTCCGTGCTCATAGCAAAACTTCTTGAATCCGGTGTCTACATATTCACCACCATTGTCTGATCTAAGCTTCTTAATCTTCAATCCTCGTCTCATTTTCCACCATAGCTTTCCAAATCTTGAAAGCTTCAAATACTTCGACTTATATTTCAGAAAGTAAACCCATACCTTCTCGGAGTGATCATCAATGAAAGTCACGAAGTAATGCTTCCCACCAACGGATGGAACATTCGTTGGACCCCAAACATCGAGTGGATGAGCTCAAACTTCTCTTTCTTTGGGGTTCTTTTACTTGTCCGAAAGCCGACTCTCTTTTGCTTTCCAAGTATGCAGCCTTCACACATGTCAATATCTACCGATCGAAGACTCGGTAATTTTCCTCTCGAGTGCATGACCTTCATTCCTTTCTCACTCATATGTCCAAGTCTTTGGTGCCATATGTTGGAATTTTCATTTGTTGCAACCGCAATCAAATGACATGCTCCTCGCAGCCTTGTAGAGTTCCACTCTTTTTGCCTCGAGAATCGTCATCGCACCTTTTGAGATCTTCCATTCATCACCGTGGAAGATTGTCGTATAGCCTTCACTAGCTAACCGACCTACCGAGATTAAGCTCTTTGCCAGTGCCTGGAATATGTCCGACATTTTTCAATTCCCATACGCACCCATTCAGCCTTAATCCTTATCGCACCTTTGCCTACAATCTCACATGACTGTTCATTACCAAGGTAAACCTTACCAAGGTTTCCGGAACATAATTCTCCAACAGCTCCTTCCGTGAGGTAGCATGAAAAGATGCTCCGAGTCTAACACCCAAGACTCCTCCCCGCCTTCAAGGGAGCATATCAATGCCTCATCTTTTCCCGAGGTGGAGGCAACGTTTGCTTCGTCCTTTGCTCCTTGATTCTTCCGTGCACTCTTGCACCGGTTTCGAAGTGTCCTGGCCTTCCCACAATTCCAACACTCGATCAACTTTGAGTTGTGGGAACTACGATGATTTCTAGACTTGGACCGCCTGTCCTTTGATTTTCCATGTCTAATTTCTTTGGTTGAACTTCTTCCTCTTGACTCGTATGCACATCGAAGAGGTTGATGCTTCACCCGACTCTCTCCGCCGGATCTCTTCGCCGAGAACCAAATTTTGAACATCATTAAATCTTAACTTATTGTTTCCCGATGAGCTACTCACAACTCGTGACCGTAGCATTCCAACTCTCCGGTAGGGAAGACAAAAGTATTAAAGCTTGTACTTCATCATCAAATTTGATGTCAATAGAACTCAATCGGGTTGTTACAGGTGTCGAGTTCATTGAGATGATTTGCCACCGAAGCACCTTCGGACATCCGCAGGTTGAACAATCGCCTCATCAAGTGAACTTTGTTTGAGGCCGATGGTTTCTCGTACATGTTGGAAAGAGCCTTCATGAGATCTCGAGGTCGTCTTTTCTTTCACAATGTTAAAAGCAACATTACGGATAATGTTAGACGAATAACTCCAAGAGCCTCGTCTATCAAGGAGACTCCATTCTTCCTCTTTCATGGTTTCCGGCTTCTCCCCGTGAGTGGTTGATGCATCTTCTTCTCGATACGGATAATCCTCTATCCGCATCTTCCGTAAGCCAAAGTCCGTACCGTCGAACCTTTCGATTTTCATTTTTCCTTCGTCTCGCAACCATCACTCCAACTCGATCCGACTTATCTCGCTGGATTGTTTCGACAATTTCGTGAGCTACCGTGTTTCGTAACACGACCGCGGCAAATTTGTAACGCCGACAAAATTTGCACTATTCACGTTTTCACTATTCATGGAATAGTAACTTACTATTTATATGAATAGTAACACCACAAAAATTACGTAACTAACAACCAGACTTCGATACCAGCTTGTCGGGAAAAATATGTCGAATCTTCTCATATGGTCGATTTGTGAAAGTGAAATAAAAGCGGAATAATTGCACACACAAGTTGATAACTGAGTTCTGCCAATAATGCCTACGTCTCCTGACTACTACAGATCTCTTTTTAGGAGAAAAGAAAATACACAAGTGTTTACAAAACACTCCCAAAACACTCACAACTCACAACCCAATTACACCCGAAGCTAAACTAAAACTCTCTAGTTTTTCCGCCTCTCACCGGTGCCACTCTTTTCTTCTCTAAGAGAAGTAATATTTTGTGTGGGATGGGATGATTTTGCTTGCAGGAAGAAGACCAATTTATAGCAAAAATTGGTACTGTGCATTACAATAAAATATGCCTCGTGCACCTCATGCTTGCATAAAAATTTGGCAGTAAGAATTGAAAAATTTGGCAGCCACTTTCTTTGACCAACAAAAACAACCTCATCTTATTTCAGTTCTTGTATGATTTCCTAAAATTTTTTTGAAAATAGAACTACAAGTTTTATCAAGTAGCAATTCACATTTGACTATTTGATTTGTTCAAAGTTGAGAACAATAATTTTATCATTATTTTTAATAAATATCCTAGAGTTATTCAAGTGAATTGCCAATTTATGTTTATTTATTTTTCAATAATCAGTTTTTCCTCCCACTCTTCTTTATACTGTAATAGTCTCTAATTTGCAAAATTTAAGAATTGAACACTTAATTGTTTGCTAAATAAATAATTTCTAAGTTTAAATTTAACATTGATGTCAATTTTTTTTTTAGATTTAATTGAAAATTTTTAGGAATATATGGTTTAGGGTTCCATTCCATTCCAATAACATGTGATGATTTGGATGAATTCAAACTTGGTCCAACAGCCAACAAATTAAAAATATCCAAATTCAAATAATTTCATAACAACAATATAAAATTATTCACTAATTATATGCACTAAAAATAAAAATAAAAAAGTTGTACACTAAGACAAGTTTTGTGTACCTGATCATGTAAAATTTTATGGACTAAATGTAAAAAATATTACAAATAAAAAAAAGTTATAAAATGAGTTAAACATAATATATCTTTGTGCTGAAATAAAGTTCTATCTAATTATCTTGAGTGTTAATATGCTTAAATAAGGAAAGAATTAAAAAAAGTTCAATGAAAAATATTTACTCATTTTATACCTAAAATTACATTTTTTTTCTAATGATAATAACTTTATAATCCATAGAATATCAATCTAAAAACAATAATATTCTAAAGCAATTCACAACAATATAATGTTACCTGAAAACGAACAACTATAGATATTATAATGAAAATAATAATTAATTATCATTAAATTATACTACATACTTATATAATATAAATAAATATATTTGTAATATATGTATACATTGTTAAATAAAGTAAATAACTTATCAAAATTATTGCAATAATAATCTAAGTTTTGACAAAAAGAGAATCCTATAAAGAATGTTAAAAAGCAATAAAAATGATTTAAAACAAATATTTGAAATACTCCACCTAATATGATATGATTTTTGTCTCAGGAATGAATGCAAATGAACACCATTGTTGAAAAGGAATAAACACAATGGTACTAATTTTGATTAGTCTATGCTTTTTTTTAATTAAAATATCTAATATTTAAAATATATATTGTCTTATTTAATTAGCACTTGATATTAACACCAATTGTTTCTCTCGCTGCTTCAGGTTACAAGTTTTCTTCTTAATTATAAAGGTGAATAATGGGTATCTAGTTGTAAAAGATAAATAAATCAGTTTTATAATTTTAATATTTTTATTTAAAAATAAAGATATTTAACAAATAAATAATAAAAAAACTATATTAATGTGTACGAACATGTACACATTTTAATATATTTATAAAAAAGTCTAATAATTATTGCTAGCAGAATATCTGATTAAACAGGGTCTTTTATAAGTTTTATCCAACTGTATATGATTAAAAAAAAAAGAGAGATGAAATTGAATAAATTAAAGTTGTTTTAAAATCAATGTTTACCTGTTTGATTTGACTTATTTAGTGTGACTAAATTAATTCAATACTTTATTTTCTTTATTTTATATTTTTGATCTCATGACCTTGTTAGACGCTTACTAAAACATCTGTATTTAATTTTTGAATTTGACTTGAATATGCTTTAAACAGTTAAATAAATGTTTCATTTTAAATGAATTCATGGTGTGAAATCTTATCTCTTAAACAAAATATATTTTAAGAAAATGTCTTTTAAAACGTCACTTTATCATAAGATAGTAATGTTTTTTTTTATATATATTTTTTTAAATGGTACCTTGTTAGGGAATATATTCTACGTTTCTATCGATCCGAACAGAAACCGGAGATTGGTCGAAAAATCCTACCGTTCTGTTATCACAGGATGATGTTGGAAAACACAACGCGTGCAGGGTTACGCTACAGTCGCATTGAATTACCGACCGTGCAGTGTAAAGATGCAGTCGCATTGAATTATAAAACCAGTAGTGTGAGGCTACAGTTACATCCATTGCATGCTCGAGTAGATTGTGAGAATAGATTGTGAGTGTGAGAAGAAAAGAGAAAGAGTAAAGAATGGAAAGAGTAACCATGGAGAGGGTAACCGAGCAAGTAGAGTGTGAGTATGAAGCTTTCAGAAGGGCTTGCATGTTAGACAATCAGGCATGTGTTTGAGATTTTGATGTTGTTTTTTATGGATGCGTTTAAAACTATGTTGTTAGGTTATGTTACGTGTGTCTGTGATGTAATATTGTGCTGCATGCAGGTTGCGTTGGAGTCTCTAGGTGCTGCAAAAACTGTTTCTCAGTATCAACAGCAAGTCGACGAACAACAAGCACTTCAGCTTTACGAAATGAACGACAATGGTCTCACCCCTGTGCGCCGCTCCACCAGAATCAGCAACAAGCTTAAGGCTTCACTCTCTCAGCCTTCCACCAGCTCGCAGCCTCCCAGAATCACTTCCAAACCTTCCAAAATCACTTCCAAATCTTCCAAAAGCACTTCCATTATCCCTCAGCCTTTAACCATCAATTTTCCACAGCCACTTTTTAACCCAGCACAAGGTTTAGCCTTTTATTTCTTGTTAAATATGTTTTTAGAATGACCCTCCAAGCATGCATGTGACTTTGCATGACTCTTTTTTTTTACATTGATTTGAAAATTAATGCTGTTAGTATCCTTCTTTTACATTATTCTCCATTTTGGAGGGACTAATATATATTATGGTTTACTGTATTTTGTAGACAAGGTCTCTTTGCATAAAAAAAGGAAGAGACCTGCTAAGACTACTGTCTTAGACCTACTGGATGGTTCTGCTAAGCGCTGTGATAGCAAAGGCAGAGGTAGTGTCTACGATCCAGTTGTGGGGATATGCTGCCATTTTTGCAGGTCCATTTTCTTACCTTTTTTGTCAACAGCAGTTTGAGATTTATTCAATAATTTTTTTTTTCTGTTAGTTAAGTTTATGGTTACAAGTTCTACACAGTTTGTAGTACATGCTTTATATAATTATATTAAGATTATTGGCAAGTAAAAAGTTTAGTGTGCAGCTCTTTATATGAACAACTGTGTTGTATTTGGAATAGATGATGACATTCCAATGTAAAACACAAATGCAGGCAAAAGAAACTGTGTGGTGAAGAAGACTGCAAGAGATGTGGCAATCTGGATGTGAATGAACCATGCATGGGTCAGATTTAAAATGTTTTTTTTTTTTTTCATTACCTCCAGTATGTTTTTAACAGTTAGACAATATTTTTCTAACAGGAAAGACCAATTGTTCTGCCTGCAACTCTAGCACTGGTGTTTTTTGCAGAGCATGCCTCAAGGTTCGATACGGTGAAGGTAAGAAAAAATATAGTTAAGAAAAAGTAAACTAAACAAAGCAAACAGATTAAAATTGCATTATAAACAAAAAAAAATATCCTTGGTGTCACATGTACTTTGGTTATTCAGAAAGATTTGTTTCATCTATGCTCTTAAAAGATTTAACACAGTTAAAACATCTGTGCTCTAAAAAATGTTTGATCAGAAAGTTACAAGTTGTGCTTTTAACTTTTGATATTCTATAATAATATATAGCATGCCTTATTAATACCATTGTTGAAACTGTTCACCATTGTTTTGTCTTAGAAATGGATGAGGTCAAAAAGGACACCGGATGGCTCTGTGCTCATTGCTTAGAGAAATCAGGCACACGTCCTTACTGGATATGTAACAGGTATATAGAGCCATTAAATTTTAACTCCTATGGTTTGTTCTTTCGGTTTGGATGCTGTAAATAGAAACATGGAGCCATTAAACTCTATGTAGTCCTTTGTACTTATCTGATTCAAGATTATGCCTCTTTTTTACTGTAAATGATGATTAGTTCAATATGCATGAGGAAACGAAAGATAGCTCCAACTGGTATAGCAGTATACAAAGGTTAGCTTTTTCTAGTCACATCATCTTTATTGTTGCAATTGATATATCTTTGTACTGAGTATGGTACCTTTGTTTTCATGAACTTTTCTTTGGATCGATTGAAATGATGAAGCTCGAGAAATGGGATACAAATCAGTGGCACATCTGGTCATGGAACAGCTTAAAAATGGAAATATGTAAAGCCATTGGCTTGGTTGAGTTTTTTTATCAGTTGCTTTATTAGTTTGACTGAGTTTCTTTTTTAAGATTCAGGAGTTATGTTAGACTTGTCATTTGCTTTTGTAATTCTCTAGTGGCACTCATTAGGGTTCTAGTGTCACTCTTTTTTAATTTCTGTACGAGGAACAACTCTATGATTTCTATCGTTTCGTTTGAATCTTTATATCAATCTCAAGTAGTTTTATGCCAAAGTGAACGGATTCGTTCCATGCTCACAGTGATTTTGACATTGAATGATTTCTTACGTTGACAATAACACTTTTTTCTGCATAAGTATTTGAAATACAAAACAGGTTAAAATAAGGTTAGATTCGTAACTAAAAAGAAAAAAAAAATAGAGAACAAATGCCTTAGGTTAAAAATTAAATGCCTTATCCAGGGACACCATAAAAATTGTTCCACTTTTTTTGACTTTTTAAACACAATAGAAAAATGTCGTTATGTAATGTTCTTACATCTTTGAAAACCATTTATTAAGGTCATATACAATACAAAGCTTTTTCTGATTAAGACCTTAAGGGTGTCTTTTATATATGTCAGATACATATTTGATGTTTTCATTAAGTTATTATTTTTATATTTTTCAAGTGTTTGAAGATTGAGATTCTTGAAATTCATACTATGAAGTACTTTAATCAAAACTTTTCTTTAGCATAGTATTGATTGGAATTATTCATCATAATGAACAGTGATTAACTGTTGTCAAATATATCGAAAGATAAATATTTCTCTCAACAACACACCAAAAGACAACGCAATCATGAAACTACAACAAGTGATCAACAACTGAAACATCCTATAACATAAGCAAATCAAAGTGATACATGAAATTGAGAATTTTCTTTATTTTCTTCTACAACATCAGAGTATTTTCCCTAATATGTATCATATTACTTTACACATCTCTCTGCAGATTTGTAATGGAAAATTTTTGCCATGGCGAAATCATATATAGAGGTTTCATATCAGGCTTCTACTATTCATAAGTACCATGACGAATTGAAAAGAAATAAGCACTTCTGCATCCGGTGAAATTAAAAGAGGTGGTGATTTCTCATTAGAAATCAAAGGAACACTCAAGCGACGACACTGAATAATGGGTGGAGAGAAACGACTACTAGCCTTCAACTGGCTCTGACTATAAGCTCAAAATCCACAGCCAAGTCCCTGTGAATCCCAACGCTTGTCTCTTCTTCATACTCACCAAGCTGTTTAGATTTGAGCTTGATCACCCTTTGCCCTACAAACACTGCTTGAAGGAAGGTGGTGTTCTTGTGGACTTGGTCAAAGGGTGTTAAACTCACCAGAACAAAAGCATTATCTTTGTACCAAGCTATTGCTGTGATCTTCCTATAGTACACTGTGACCTTGTTGTTAGGGTTTGTCACTGTGACGTTGACCTTGAAGTTGTAATACAAGGTGTTGTTTCTTGTGAGGTTGAACTGTGTTAGAAAGACATCAGTTACTCGGAACTTGACACTTTTAGGTGCTGTGATTATCGGGACAATGATCAAAGGAAGTATGAAGAAGATCACAATGATGGAGATTGTGGAGCATATGCAGCAGCAGCTTGCTCTGTAACACATACACATGGTGTGATGATTGATGGAAGATGGTGTAACATTTGTGCGCGTATATGTAATAGCAGTTTCATGGTTTCAGCGTGGGTTTTGTAGGTTGACCTTTCCTTGGGGATTTTCTTGCAAAATACAAATGCATAATAAGGAAGCATTAACTTATGAAGATGAATAAAGATAAACTTTTTAATTGTTTGATTAGCAAGTAAGAAAGTACAACATATTATATGTGAGAAAATGATAAAGGGTGAGATCTAGTAAAAATTTGATATATTTTTTAATACATTTAGATTCAACTATGCAGCATATATGTTCTAAAAATATGTGTTAGAAAGTATATTGCTATAACATTTCTCTTTAAATTTCAAAACAATCTTCAAATAAAAACAAGACAAACCAAAATTCAAACGTAAAAATTCAGCTGCAAAATTTAACTAAGAACAGTATCAAAATAAATTAATCAATTCAATCCTCCGTGTTTTTTCATCTTAGCCGCAATTACGACATGCTTAACTAATTATAAAATGCAAGTTTGGTGTTTTTCAAATATTAGAATAAAATTTTCCTAATTAAAAATATCAAAAGTTTATAATTTTTTAGGATTTATTTGAAGTATTAATGTCGGATTCTAAAAACAATATATAGTATAAAAAAATTAAGTCATAAAAAAAATAAAGAGGGTCAAAATGAAAGCAATAAAAAATTTATTTTAAGTGCAGAAAATGAACAATTCATAGCAGTATGTGCAAAGTTCCTGAAGCCCTTTCATATTGTTGACTATATTGACTGTACAATAATAAAATGATGATGAAATGTGCAAAAGATGACTATATTGACTGTGCAAAAGATGATGACTAATCATATTAGAGTTGTTAAGTTAATAAAATGTTTTCTGGTTAGATTTGAATAATATATGGAGTAATATTATGTCCACATATGTTACTCAACAGTATTTAAATTTATACACATATAAATAAATAATATATATATATATATATATATATATATATATATATATAATATTAAGTGAGTCTATTCTTGTCCTAAATAAAAATAAGAAAATTAAATTAAAAAGAAAAATTTATATTTCATTAATAATCATTATATATTACTGTTGATTATAATAAGATCTTTATTTATATTATTTATTATTTTTATTAAAGATAATAATATTAAAGATGACTATTAAAAATAATAATATTAAAAATCATAAAACAGATCCATCGATTATGTTTTAACACTGTTTTAACCTAATTTACCTTTAAAAGATGGACTGACGTCAATAAATATTTTTACATGTATTTTTTTAAATATATATTTAATTATAAGAATAATTTTAAGATTTTTATATTATCAATTAATATTTTTATTAAATAAATTAAAAAATTATTATATTAATGTATTAAAATAATTAATAATTTAATTCATTAATTCTTATAATTTAAATTATAATATTATAATATATTTATTTATATATTTTAATAATATAATAAAAAAACAATATTTTTAATTATAATTTTTATATTAATTTTAATATATAAATACTTTTTTTAAAACTAGTTATTCCGTCCCACCTTTTACTTCTTAAGTTAGTAGACTAGGTGGATAAGCTAAAACCGACTAAAATAATAAATCACTTATATTTAACTTATTTTATCATCTTAAATAATATTATTAAAATTTATTATTATATTCTATTTTGAAATTTTAGTTTGTTAGTCTTTAACAAATAATTAAACTTTTAAAATAGATAATAGCTTAAACTTATTATAACAAAATTAAAATATTATTATTTTTAGACATAATAATTTAAATAACTAATAATAGGACCTGTATTAGATAAATAGAATAATATGAATTTTTGTTAAAAAGGATTATATTAACATTGATATAATAGAAATTAATTAAAACAAAGTCATATTTAAATTACTTTTTAATAAATAAATTACATCATAATTATTAATTATAATTTCTAATTTAATAATTAATATCAAAGTTAATCCTCTGGTACAACATGTTTGTGATTGGTATTTAATAAATTATTGACATATAATAGATGTAGTTAATATTTTATTATAATTTTGAAAGAAAATGTGATAAAGTTTAAATATTTTGTGAGTTAACTCTAAACTTTACATCTTTTATAAATAAACAGCTTAACTTTTAATTTTATTCTAATTAAGTCTTAAATTTTACGCTTTTTATAAATAAGTACCTTCTTTAAATTTGATTATTATTTTTTTCATATAAACACTTTAGATCGATCTTATCTTCATCAATCATCAATAAATGATTTACTCGAACATGAAATAAAAAAGTTTAATAAATGATTTAAAAAATAGTTTAAATAAATATAAATTCTAAGTGTCTATTAAAAAAAAAGTTTAAGGATCAATTGGAACGAAAATAAAGTTCAATATGTCTTAACTGTAAACGAGATAAAATTTGAGAACCAAATAAAATAAAAATATATAATATCTATTTATAAAAGGATAAAATTTATAGGAGTTAATAAAACTGAAAAAAATTAATATCGCATTAAAAAATATTTAAATTTAAATAACATTAATTAATTTTTATACTAATGAAAAATTAGTTAATTTATTCCATTAATTACATTAAAAAGCACAAGTATCTTGAGTTCATATATAAATAAAAATAATCAATTTCAAAAGTAATTTAACATCTGTTTTTCTTGTAAACAAACGTTAACATATTTTTTTAAAAGCAAGTAACATAATTAATTTATTTCACTAATTTCCATTTGATTTTATTAAAATACTTTTTAACCTAATTTTATGTATAAAAATAATTTATTAATAATAGACTCATGATTAAATGTATAATATTTTAAAAATAATTTCATTAAATGAAGTAAAATTAATTAAACTTATTTCTATTTAAGAATGTTATATTCTATATGATAAATATTTTTACTTATATTTAAAAATATTAAAAGGAAGAGTTATTCAGATTAAAATCTCATGTAATTGAGGAGTATTCTATATATATTAATACATAATAATATATAATGAAATATTTGTTAAATATATAAGTTAATTTTCCATTTTATCCTTTAATACATAAATAGTATAATTTTGAATTATTAAAAAAACTATCATATCAAAATAAATATAAATATATGCATGTTTTCTTTTTCTTTTCTTCTATGACGTTATTTATTGTATTTTTCTTTTCTTTCTTCTATTTTATTACAATTTATTCTTTCCTAAAAAGTATATTTTACATTTTTATAAGATCAAGCAGAAAAAAAATATTAAAATTTATTTATATTCTAACCCAGTACCATTATTTTTTTCTTATTATCAACTATGGAGAGCAAGTATCAATTAACTTTCACCTTGAAGACGCTAACCCCTCTAAAACCCTCTATTCTCATGAATCATTGTCGTTAACCCTTTCTTCCTTTCCGAATCAAACTCCTTTCGAACCCATGCCACTGATACGCAGTGTTCCACCGCTTCACTGTGCCATTTCCACGCTTACCAATGCACCACCATCATCATCTTCCACTCTCTCTGCTGCCACATTCGGTTCCCACCTTCTGCGCAAAATTCGGAACCCAATTTCTGGGTTTTCCGCAACCAGGAATCGCTCGCGTGCTGCGGTGATCAGAGCCAAAGCAGGGGCCGATTACTATTCCACCTTGAACGTTAGCTCCAATGCCTCCCTGCAAGAAATCAAGGCTTCCTATCGCAAACTGGCGCGCAAGGTTCACATTTTCTCGCGTGTTTGCGTGCCAATTTTAATGGGTTGTGTTTGGTTTTTGGGGAAAATGCAGCAAACTAGGGTAATTGGAATATGAGTTATGTTTGTTTGAAATTGATGTCATAACTAAGCTTGGTTAGATGTTCTGTTGCTATTAATAGTTGTCATTTGAGATTTTTGAGTAGTTGTATGAAACTGTGTGATAAGTTAACTGGTGCATTCATAGTTACTGTCATATACAACATAAGGTTGTATTTGTTTGATACAAAGCCATGCATAAGGAATGATAGTAAGATATTCTCTAACACTCTCTCTTAGACTATTATTCACTTTATTTTTGGTTAAATTTTATTTGAAACTGCAAAATTATAAGGTTCATTGAATAAGAAGTGATGATACCTACAAAATCTTGCAATTATTCATTCCAGTCAATAATAGAGTGTGTACATAGTATGATGCAAGCATTGCTCAACAAATCATTCGTGTGTCTTCATCCAACAGCTTAAACTTTTTGAATTACATTGAATGTTGCAAGCGTATCTCAACAAACCAGTTATTGCCTTCATCCAACAACTTAAGCTTTTGGGAGTATTGATTCATGGCATGTTATTGGAGCTTCTATAGGTGGTCTAGAATTCAATTTTTGTTGCAACATGTGAGCCTGTGTATTAATGTCAGACCAAGCTTGTGAGCCTGTGTATTGCCCCCCCTTTCATCCCAAAGGGCTCTTTTATATGGGGCCTTGTCAGATATAAAATGGTCTGTGTTCCTTTACCGAACAGTATTCTTTTAGAAGAATTATTCTTGACTTTTTTTTTTTTAAATTTTTGGAATCAGTACCATCCAGATATGAACAAAAGCCGTGGGGCTGAGGAGAAGTTCAAAGAAATAAGTGCTGCATATGAGGTAATTCTTGCCCTAGAATGATGCTTTATCTTTTATATTGGTAATACTTGTTCAGGCAGGCCATACTTTTTAATTCATTAAGGAACTTCTTTTACATTCTTTTGCACTGTTAATTTTTTTTAATTTCTGTCCTATTCTCTTTGTTTATGATCTGAACATTGACATTGTAATCATTTATCTGCTGGGATACACGACTGAATTAGTGAATTTTATGGATACTACTTCAGGAACAATAACTGCATATGTACTATACTTGCATTTGTCCCCTTTTATTTGTGTGGTAACAAATCTTACATATAGGTCCTATCAGATGATGAGAAAAGATCTTTATATGATCGATTTGGTGAGTCAGGTCTAGAAGGAGAAAATGAAGGGTCAAGTGGTGCTCCAGGGGTATGGGCAGATTCATGTCTTTCACTTTTTGCAATCGCAATATGAACTTGTGACTCTTTTGATATGATGATATATTTGTAAAGGAGTACAACATGCACCTTTTTTCCTTTCCAACCTCATTACTTACTGCTGATGCCACCTGAATTGATCAGGTTGATCCTTTTGATTTATTTGATACATTCTTTGGTCGTTCTGATGGAGTATTTGGAGATGGTGATGAAGGGGGCATCAACTTCAATTTTGGAAACAAGAGAAACCGTGGTCATGATATTCGGTAACTATCCCCACAATATGTTGACTAATTTCTATGAGAATTAACTAAATGGTTATTGGATTCTTTGAGTGAGAGTTTTGAAAATTGTATTTGTTCTTATGGAGCATTCTCCTACCCAAAGGGATTTTCTGCTCTTGTGCGTAATTAGAAGAATCTTATCCAACAAAAGAACTGAAGCAGAAGGATGAGGTGTTTTCCATATAAAACTAATGTATCCCAGTGTCATAGAGTTCCTTGCTATACAAAGATACGGGAAAGGGTCATTGTATGCAGCTATACCTTTTCATAAGCAAAGAGGTTCTTTCCGGATTTGAGCTCATGGCTAACTTGTCACCAAGGCACGAAGTTGCACCAAGGCTTGTCTTGGGTTGTTGTCCAGAAAGAAAATCAAATAAAAAAGGGATAAAGAACTTGCACAATGATGATTATAAAAGACCATGAGTCAAGCACCAAACAGCAGGCAGATGAAGTTATCTGCTGTACAATGAATCTCCAAGAAATCACTATAAATCTACAAAGTTAACTACTTTTTCACTCTAAGAATTTAAAACAAAATCAATGAAAAGGGCTCGCTAGTTGCAAGAGGAAAACATATTTACCCAGTAAGAGTAAGTACTAACAGTCTTTATGCTATATTCTAACACTCCAAATAATGCACTACTAAATGCTGTGTCTGAATTTAGATTCCGATAGAGTTTAAGCTTTCATTAAGGCCTGTAACTACAAAGAAATCACAAAAATGAAACTTGGGTACGTCTCACAGATTACAAATAATGTATATAAAAAAAAAATATCCAAAACCTCAAACTGTTGAACTGGAGAAAGGATAACTGAAATAAAATAACTGCTGAAGAATATTATTATAAGTAACAGATTGCCGGTGAAAGTCCCTTGATGTTTAGTATAGTTTATGAATTTAGGGCATACACAATTTGATTGAAATATGAATACTTTGCAAATTATCAGAATCCTATGATTTAAGAAGAAATCACTTAGATGAAAGAAGATAGCCAGAATTTGTCTACCCCTGGAAGATATTACGCCAACCATAAGACTTTCATTTGATAAAATTTGATATTAACTTTATTTCATTCTGTCTTGCAGATATGACCTTAATTTGAGCTTTGAAGAGTCCATATTTGGAGCACAGAAGGAGATTGAAGTTTCATGTCTTGAGACATGTAACACCTGTGATGGTACAGGAGCTAAATCAAATAATTGTATTAAAGAATGCACAAATTGTGGTGGCAGAGGGGGAGAAATGAAAAGTCAGAGAACACCCTTTGGAATGATGTCTCAGGTGATCTAAATTAAATAGATTTATTTGGTGAGCGACTGTGTTGGCAAGGATTTTTAAATTAGCTGGAACATAACATGGTAATATTTGTGTCATATGATATTCAGGTTTCTACCTGCTCTAAGTGTAGTGGCCATGGTAAAATAATCACAGATCACTGTCGAAGGTGTGATGGCAGTGGTCAGGTGCAATCTAAACAAACTATGGAAGTGGACATTCCTGCTGGAGTAAATGATGGAGACACAATGCAAATTCAAGGACAAGGGAATTTTGATAAAAAGAGGTTAGAAGGATTCAATGAATTTTTCTGCTTCCAACGCTGTTTCAACTTCATTATACTGTGAACTGTGGGGTGAATTCTATTTGGGTTTGTCAGTTTAGTAAAAGGAAAAGAGAGTTTTAATGAAGACTGCAAATATCTACTTCATCAAAGTTCATTAACTAAATATGAAATTGTTTGTACATCTGGGTGGTCAACTTGCCCACTTTAAATGAGTAACTATTCTGACCATATTCATTGTTTTAAGCAAACTCACCAACTCATTTACCATGATTATTTATTGATGACAGATTACCTCAAAACTATTTCAGATTACCATGTGTCATAATAGAAAATGATATCACTTCATCTGAGACCCAGGAGAAGCTACTTAGAAAATAAAATTGAATCTCGTTTTCACAAGCCTATTTATTTGCAATCTGGATGGTCAGAATCACTATGAATTCAACTCATCTAAGTGCTACTGGCACATTTTATTTCAGGCAAATTACTGGGGATCTTTTTGTTGTCCTGCATGTAGATGAAAAGCAAGGAATTTGGAGAGAGGGTCTTCATTTGTACTCAAAGATTAACATTGACTTCACAGATGCAATATTGGGGTCAGTTAAAAAGGTAATATCAATTTCCCTCTCTGTGCTTGTCAATAAAAAACAGCAACATTGTTGGCAGAAATGGAGAATCGCAATGGTGTAGATATGTTATTTAGGGATTTTATGTTAATTGTGTTATTGAGAGATTATTCTTCCATTTAAGGGATCTTTCCCTATTTTAAGGATCTAATATTTAATAAGTTATTTGATTGGAATTTGATTAGAGTTTTTATAAGCCTAATAAGTCACATCCCTATTTGTCTTCGGTTATATGGTTTGATAATTATTCCCTATTGCAATATTAATTGATGCATTTCTTATGTGTTAAAGCCAGAGCTCATATACAAGTTTAAATTCTGTATGCATTTTCAAGAATAGTTCAATCATTCATAATATTAAGAAATATCCTGTAGCTTTTTGTGTCTTTGAAGGCTTTTTTAACTTTTAACTGAGGTTACTTCAGGTAGAAACTGTTGAAGGTTTACGGGATCTTCATATTCCTTCAGGGATTCAACCTGGAGATTCAGTGAAGTTGTCACGTTTGGGAGTTCCTGACATGAATAAACCATTTGTTCGAGGCCATCATTACTTCATTGTGAATGTTCTTATTCCGAAGGATATCAGGTCTGTATTTTTCTTATCTTTTCTTAGCTCCCCAAAAAGAGAGTTCATCATACATTGTCTTCTTAGAGTTTTGCATGTATTGTAAGTTTCTGAGTTTTTGTTCTTCCGTTAAGGTTCCCAGAGCAGCAATTTTCAGTAAATGTTTTTATTTCCTTATCAATTAAATGCCAGAGCCTTTGTTGCACTTCTATGGATTTCATTTAACGTTGCTATCGGAGAACAAATTAATCCTTGTCCATAATCCCAGGTTCCAGCAGTTACAATAGACTAATCTGCACTTTGCAATGATCATTCATCTTCATGAGAATATTGAGAACATATTATTTCACAATTTATTGCCCACGATACACATGATACTTTCCTCGTAATTGAATACTTTTGTATGTGTATCTATGTTAAGTTTCTTATAGTTATGATTTTCTTTTATCTTTTATTCTTGCTTGTACTAGTGGCACCGAACGTGCACTTGTTGAGCAGTTAGCTTCACTTAGAGCATCTACCAAAAAGGATTCACTGTCTTCTGATGACAATGGTAATAGTTCTTTATACTCGGATACATTTGCAATTAAAAAAGTATATCAGGTTAAGATTATACTGAACATACATGAACAAGAAAAAATGTTCAGGTTCTTTTTTAACCGTACTTTTCAGGAATACCTAAAGGAAAGTTCAATGAATTCGTAAAGAGGAGGGATCCAAGGGGTGATGGTTCGAGCAAGGAAATAAAAAATGTTGATTCTCTATGGGGATCAATCAAGAACTTCTTAAGGTATATCCCAGTTGTGCTATATGTGCTAATGTTGATGGAATACAAAGAATCATGAATAATTTCACATGAATGTTCAGAATTGGACTTTGTAATTTATCTTAAAGTAAGAAAACTACAATACCATCTTTCGTGAATAACATAGTAAGACCCTTACCAATCTTTTCATGTACAGTGGAGGACAGTCCGATGAAAAGTTTGCTTCAATTAGCATGGATGCATCAGCATTAATACGAAGATATGGTGACCAAAATCCTTCTGTCCCTAATTCATTTTTTGTTATTTTCGTTCTAACTTGGATTTTTGCCTCTATAGCAAAATCTAAGTTCTCGATACTTCTCAGAAAAGATCCGAGTCCTTTAATAGAACACAGTGAGAAAAATTAAAGGCATGCTTGGTATGAAAGTAGAACTTAGGGAGGGAAGTGGGGAGAAAGTTAGTTTGAGTTTATTTTCAAACTACAAGAGACCAGAATTGAGAGAGTAGACTAAGGATGAGTTCCACTGCATAAACACCCCAAACCATTGTCAGTAATTTTCTTCCAAAAGTCTATCCTAATTCTATTACACCTCTAAAACATTCTGTTTGAAGATTGGTGATTTGAACTCACCTTTAGTAACCAGGGCGGGGCTATCAAATTAAACTGTTTGCTCCCATTACGGTGAGACTTCATTGTAACCCCTAACAATCTTTGGCGGCTTATGCTAAAACATAGCCCTCTCTCATATTTTAAGCAGTGAGGTTACATTGAAATTTTTCCTTCAAGTTGGCATGCCGGGTGAATCCTTATCGATAACAAATATGCTTGAATGTGGGGAACACAGTCATAACTATGCGATTGCTTGGCATTGTTCTATGTTGTATTTGGATTTTTGTTGTCAAGTTTTTAAGCTAGTTTGCTCCCATTAACATTATTTTTAAACTGAATTTGTTGGGTAAAGATTTAATATGACGAAAATATTAAAATTTAGAATTTGCCCTCAGCAACTACTTCATTAAATTGTGATGACAAGTGTCAGAATTCTCATTAATGAAACAACACAATTATCATGATAATTTGATTGATTCTGTTTTTAGCTTTATCAAAGTGTCCGAATTAATTTTGTAAAACTGATTTTGAATTAAATTTTTAGAATTGATTTTGAAATAAATTGTTCTATATTTAGTTTTTTAGTTATAAAGTTATCAGTGAAAAACCAGTTAAAGTTTTTCATGCAATGCACTATCTATTTATGGCTGTCTTTATTTAAAATTAACATTGAATTCAATTAATTTCGCATTGTAGAAATGAAAATATGATTTGTAACTTTTTATTCAAAATCATATTAACTTACATTTCAAACAAACTTGGTACATTTAAACGGGAATCTGAACACGCAATAAATAGGAGTTAAAAAATTGTAGTTGGGAGTCATGACATGAATAAAGTCTAAAAAATAGATATTAACTCTGACGTAACCCAGGTTTCTTTACAATCCAGAACGTATATGGCCTTGGGTCTACCTTCTACAATGTCAGGTGCAGATAATATAACTCTTCATTATGCAAGTAGTGGTTTGGCCATGTCCTATGCTTCACTTTCCTTGAAATAAAGCTGCATCAAACTGGTTATCATTCTGGTACCCCTCTGCATTTATCAATGTAGCATCAATAATTGTATAACCAGGAACAATTTATTGCCCAATGCACTCGCACATGTCTTAAACGTCCATTAATATATGTCTTGCAAGTGAAGCTACACAAATGCAACCACTACCTTTTAACATGAACAACTCATCAAAGCACAAAGTACTTAGCTGGCCAAATAGTGGTCTGAACAAATCCTGAAAACCCCAGTTGACATTAGACACAGTGCTTAAACCCCATAACCTTTACTCACTCAAAAGCTATATAACTTTGTCACTCGCAATCATTAGGATCCTTCGCAATTACCAGTTGTTTTTAAGTATTAGTGGTGGTGGTTGTGGTGAGCTACTTTCTTTCTTTCTCCATCCTTTGTCGTTTGTAAATATAAGGGACTTACTCAATTGTATTGTATATGAGCTAGCAAGTTGATCACAATAAGATTTTCTTATGATTAAGATGTGTGCCCCACAACTTATTTATGGTCACTTCAATTCCCACCATAAGATCACTTTCAGAAATTCTCTGCACCATTTTTCTTATCTATCTTCAGGAAATCCAATGTAACCATATCTTGCAGTAGGGTTTCAATCGTTTCATCTAAGTTCTAGCTGAAATTAGAAATCGGTTTAATTATTCAAATGCCAAAATATGCAAATCGCTTTAATAATTCAACCACCTCAAAGCTATTGTTGTCAATTCTTTTATGCCGTTCAAGTTACGTCGTACGAATTAAATTATTTAAAATTTTGCAAATAATTAAAGAGAAATAAATAAGACTTCAAATCCAATTGTTCATTCTCTTTCAACTTATATTTACTTTGATCTGTATTATCAATGCATTGATAACATCATAAACCACACTCTGTTAATTCTCCAACAAGATTAGTCTTTAAAATTTTAGTATTTCCCAAGATCTAATATTCAATAATCCGTGGTGCATTCTTTTATTACTAATAATGGGTACATTTTCTGTATGATTATTTATTTTTCTGTATGAATAAATTCTCGAAAACATTTTCATTTTCATAGCCTTTAGCTTCCCTTTGGCCCTATGACAGGTTGTAATCATGATGTTCACTACCCTTTGCTCTGGGTTCCACTGTTTTTCATTGCTCCCTTCAATTCCCAAGTCTTAAAAACGCATTTTTTATTTTATGTTCCATTTAATTTAAATGTGTAGTTTTTTTTTTTGGATAAATATCATTCATCTTAATTGAATGTTGGGTATAGTGATGTTTAGTAAAACTTGCAACAAAAGAATTGGTAGCTAACGAATGAGAAGTCAAAAATAGAAGTTGAAGCAAAGACAAACTAGAGTTACAAGTTTAAAATGTCTGATATAACTCCAATCTCATGCTTTGTTCACAAAATGCATATCTTAGCATACTTTGTTCTCTACTAATCCACATCCTCTCCATAACAGAAGGAAATAACAGTGTTAGGGTTAGTTTACTTGTTTTACAATCTACACATCCTACTTAACATCCACCAAATTCAATTATTTTTTCAAAATCCTACAACTAGCCATAAATCTTTGAGTGATTAAGAAGCCATTCATCAATGCTTTCTGATGATCAACCACCATATCCAATTTGAGGTTTTCTCAGCAAAATCAGCTTGATACATAGAAGAAACTTCTATTCATATAGCATAAGAAAACACAGAAGTTGGAAAAGTAGGTCTAGGTGAATTGCGTTGGTCATCACATGGGTCACCAAATTGGAAAGTTATTTAATATCTCTCTGTCTAAAGTGTACACAGAAAAGTAACCTAATTCACTAGCTTTCCAACTAGGCAATGCCCTTCAAAACAGCTAAGCTTGTGTTGATGTTGCATGTGTGTGAATTCTGGTTGTGGACACAATAACTTGTACCATCAAACCCTCAAGAAAAAGAGTGAACACAAAAATCACACCAACACTTTCCATTCTATTATATTGCAGTGTAGGTTAGATCGTTTTCCTTTTTTTTTTTCTATTCTCATTCTTCATTTACTTTCCAAACTTGAAGTTTTGAGATGGAAGTTACTTCTTAGATGGTCCTACATCTATCTCATTTTTTGTCAATTACTTATTAGGCTGGATTTATAAAGTTTACACTTACCAGGTAAAAGTTTCACCAACTTACCAACAGGGAAGAAAGAATTATATAACGTTACGTGAGATTCATAAGTCACAACTAACAACATTCGATCAAAGTTACACTTTTGATGGAAAATTGTGTATAAAGGATTATAAACATCAACAATTTTTTTTAACAATATTCTTGTCTTAATATGATGCATCGTTAAAGATTGCGTTTGAAACCAATGTTTGAACTAATTCTTCTTTTTTTCACTTATATATAGTGCATGTTCTTTTAATGTGAATATATTAGTTTAATGCATCATCGACGTACTTAACTGACTGAATGCATATTATATTATATCTAGTCAAGTAAATTAATTTATCAAATTTAAACATTGGTTAAGAATTTAATGCATCCTTCGCTTACAAAATGTTTTATTTAACTATTATTTTATTAAGAATATAACTATTATTATTCAGTTATGTTTAGTTTTGTACGAAAATTTTGAATTTTATACTTTTTTTAAATTATTTGATAATATAAAAATAAAAGTAATTTATTTATACATTAAGTATTTATAGTTTGATTATGTATTACACTCCTTTTTATATATCTAAATAAAAAAATCCTACTACTTTAATTATTCCATAAAAGGACGAGCTAAATATAAAAGAATCTAGTTATTAATTTAATAGTACATGTGAATTAAGTTATTTAAACACCTTACTACTCATATATAATATTTACGAATCAAAACACTAAAGATATTGATATTTGTTAACTTAAAAGTAAAATTTTGAATATCAAAAGTTTTTTACAATTTCCTAATTATAAAAAGGAACTACTTATTTATTGTATTTTTATGACTAAATTTAAAAAAAATTAAAATTTGACTGATTATTGGGTTGAAAGGGATTTGTTTCCTAAGTTCGTAACATAGAATCATGAAACTTTATTTTTAATCTATGAATTGTTTGAGAAAGATGAAAATAATAGTTATTAGTTTCACATTATCATGCGTGAAAGCAAATCCAAAAAGTGACGTGTATCTATCCATGTATGTACATTTTCTTTCTTCTTCTCACCAACTTTCTTTCTCTCTCACTACATCATCGTCATCAATGTAACACTAATGCACAAACCTTGTTATTTACACGTTAACGTTATTTTTTATGTCTCTCTCGAAACAAAACACACAAACACACACACTACTTAGTAGTGTCTGGATTCTCAAACGAAAAACCGAAAACACAAAACAACAATGCAACATTCTCACACACTTTTTCCCACCATTCTCCTTCTCTTTTTCTTCTTTCCTTCAACACTCTCCGACCTCTCGTCGGAGCGCGCGGCGCTCCTCGCCCTGCGCTCCGCCGTGCGCGGCCGCACGCTTCTTTGGAACGCTGCCTTCTCCTCGCCCTGCGCCTGGCCCGGGGTCCAATGCGACGCTGCCAACGTCACGGTGGTGGAGCTCCACCTCCCCGCCGTCGCTCTCTCCGGAGAGCTTCCCGCCGGCGTGTTCCCGGCGTTCCCCAACCTCCACACTCTGAGTCTTCGCGTGAACTCCCTCTCTGGCGCTCTCCCCGCCGACCTCGCCGCCTGCGCCGCCCTCCGGAACCTCTTCCTCCAGCAGAACCACTTCTCTGGCGAGGTGCCGGCGTTTCTTTCCGGTATGACCGGCCTCGTCCGGCTCAATTTGGCCTCCAACAACTTTTCCGGCCCAATTCCGGCCCGGTTCGGGAATCTCACCCGGTTGAGGACCCTTTTCCTTGAGAATAACCGGCTCACTGGTTCGCTACCCGGTTTGGAAGAACTCGATGAATTGGCTCAGTTTAATGTCTCTTACAACATGTTAAACGGTTCTGTTCCTAAAAAGTTGCAAACTTTTGATAAAGAATCGTTTATGGGCAATACCCTTTGTGGGAAGCCACTTGGGATTTGTCCTTGGGATGATGGGGGTGGTGAGAGTGGTGTAAATGGGAGTTCAAGTTCAAGTGGGGTTGGAGGGGGTGGAGGGAGTGTGATTGGTGGGGAAAAGAAGAAGGGAAAGCTTTCTGGGGGTGCAATTGCTGGGATTGTTGTTGGGTGTGTGGTGGCTCTTTTGTTGGTTGCGTTTACTTTGATTCTTTTCTGTAGAAGTGGAAACAAGACTAGGAGTGTTGATAATGTTAGTAACTTGGTGGCCTTGAAGGAGGAGCCTCAACAGCATGGGGAGGTGGGAATTGAGGGTGGTAATGTGGAAAATGGTGGTGGGGGTGGGAATTCGGCGGTGGTGGCGACAGCGGTGGCGGCAGTGAGTGGGAAAGGAGTTGGTGGTGGAAGTGTTGGAGATAAGAAGTTGGTGTTTTATGGTAGTAAGGTGAAAGTGTTTGATTTGGAGGATTTGCTTAGGGCTTCTGCTGAGGTGTTGGGAAAAGGAACTTTTGGGACTACCTATAAGGCTGTTTTAGAGGATGGGCCCGTGGTGGCTGTGAAGAGGTTGAGGGATGTGACCGTTTCAGAGAAGGAGTTTAAGGAGAAGATTGATGCAGTGGGAGTGATGGATCATGAGAATTTGGTGCCTCTCAGGGCTTACTATTATAGCAGGGATGAGAAGCTTCTTGTCCATGATTACATGCCAATGGGAAGCCTATCTGCAATTTTGCATGGTGAGTTGAAAGCCTCACTTTGGTGGTTTGATAATATCAAATGCTTGCTTTTAACTACCAGTTATGTCTTCTGAGTTTTTGAGGTTTTCTTTGCTGTTTTTGGTATGAGTTTTTTCTAAAGAATGATTTCTGCAATTTGCATAATGGTGTTCTTTTTTGGAGAATGCTTAATTGCTATCAATCACTGACTATTTGATTGTGTAGCAATTGACAATAGAAGGGGGAAGAGAGTGTATGTACTAGCGTAGCACCCTTTGGGAATCATAAGTTGTTTCGCATTGCATTGTATCTCCTCTTGCAGTTCACTAGTTTCATCTTGAACTTATCTGAGTTTGTGACTTTGGCCCTATCTGGACATTACATAATAGAAGTGTAACCAAATATGTAATTTGGCATCAGCTTTTAAGCCCCATGTTGCAATTGTGTTAACAAGAAAGTGTGTCATCTCTCATTCATTGGCATGAACACTAGCAAAAATGAAGTTTATGTTATAATTCTTTATCACCACAGGAAACAAAGGAGCTGGTAGAACACCATTGAATTGGGAAATGAGATCAGTCATTGCAATAGGAGCTGCTCGTGGCATCGAGTACCTACATTCACAAGGGCCTAATGTTTCTCATGGAAACATAAAGTCCTCCAACATCCTCCTAACCAAGTCCTATGATGCCAGGGTGTCTGATTTTGGCCTTGCATACCTTGTTGGTCCCTCATCCACACCCAACAGGGTGGCCGGCTACCGTGCCCCCGAAGTAACCGATCCACGCAGAGTGTCTCAGAAGGCTGATGTATACAGCTTTGGGGTGTTGCTCTTGGAACTTCTGACTGGAAAGGCTCCTACACATGCCCTCTTGAATGAGGAAGGAGTGGACCTTCCAAGATGGGTGCAATCAGTGGTCAGAGAAGAGTGGAGTTCTGAGGTGTTTGATATTGAGCTCCTTAGGTATCAGAATTCTGAAGAGGAGATGGTTCAGTTGTTGCAAGTTGCAGTGGATTGTGTAGTTCCATACCCTGATAACCGCCCTTCAATATCTCAAGTGAGACAACGCATAGAAGAGTTACGTAGGTCTAGCATGAAAGAGGGTACTCAAGACCAAATCCAACAGCCTGATTTGATCGACATTGTAGATGATGTATCCTCTAGATGAGTTTGGTATGGGTTTGTGTAAAGGATCTTCTTGGCTTAGTCAAAAGCCCCCACATATTTTTCTTCCTAAATCATGTGCTTATGTTGTATTTTCTGGAGACAAAACTTGATGAGTTTTTTAGCTACTTTTCGTGTTATTTTTCTATCAGAATTGGAGTTTTATGTTAGTAATTGACATAATAAAGGTCTGCATTAACCATGAACATTGATTACTGATCAAGTGAAACTTCAATTCTGACAGAAGAAGAATATCATCAAAAGTATCAAAGGAAGTTTATCCAAGTCTTGTATTTTTTTTAAAATTTTTTTTAACCTTGTGTTCATAATTTTCTCCAACACCCAACTTATAATTTTCTTCCAATTTCAATTGTACTATCCCCTATTTCTTTTTTGCCTGGAATATCTATTCCATTAGTTATTGCCGGTGGATTTTGGTTGATGTCATTATTACCTTTGCTTTAACATTGGCTTTTTTTCTTTTGTTGACACTTTTCTCTGTTGAAACTGTGATCATATAGTCGCTTTCTTGGTTGGTTGTAATGTCCTATAGGTGGCATGTAGCATGTCTTCAAGTGTAGGGACCCCCCACCTTGGTAAAGACAATATGGATGATTTATACCTAGAACCAACTTTGATTAACCCTCCCTTCACTTCATAGGTGAATTAAGATTTGGACTTGGAGGTAGTTCCCCACTTGTACAAATATCAGTTTCATGTCACACACCAATTCCTTAATTATAGTGTTTTACTTTTTTACTAAGTCTAGTTTCTATGAATTGTCAGGACAATTGTTTTTATGTTATTAACCAATAAAATTGAAGTTTAAGTTTAAGCCTCTTGTTCTGATCTTATAATTCAGTACTCTTCCTTCAAAAAGAACTTTTAGCCCAAGCTTGAGGCTGAAGGCTTGCATGGATATATTGTCAAAAAGTGTCATTTGATGTGTAAAATGCTAAGGTCAAACAGCTTTGGCCATGTGTAAAAAGTTTGAAATGATATGATGCATTTATATTAAGAGAAATTCAATTATATAAACATAAGAATAAGGTATAAAACATTAATGCCTGCTTTGACTAATGCAGCATTTAATCCAACATGATTTTCAACAAGAGTCTTCTGTTGTAGTTGTAAGCATAGCCTATTTGTTTGTTAAGAAAATGTGAACCTTTTGTATTGGAATGTCACTTTTATTGGTCCCCCCATATAAACCAATTTTGGTATTATGTGACATGGCAAGAGTTAAGCATATGGTTTCTTATCAACAATGTAAAATTTATAATTTAAGCATCAAATCAAACCATGACAGTGTGTGGCACTTGAAACAATTTTCTCAGGTTTTGAGTACAAGCCGAACTGAAAAAGTTCATATTACAAAGGTGATGTATCTGTGAAGATGATTATAATTGTAACTTTATGGTGGACCAGAAAATAGAGTACACACACATAGTGGATGAGGCAGTGCAGTTTAAAGTGATGTTCCTGACATTGTGGTCCTACAACCCTACTGCTACTTCATAGTGGTTCATGATCATAGTTTGTTGGCATCCAGTGATCTACACTCTCTCATGTTCTAATTTTGTTAATACTTTGAGTGGCTCCATTCATGTAAGGTTGAAAATAATTAGTATCACTTAATTCATAAAATACATAATTTAATTTTGCAACTAAGTATGAAAAGAGAGTTCCTCGTACTTTTCTGTCACAGATTTTCTCAATTCGTTAAATCAAAAACTAAATCTCGTTTTTAATAATGTGAGACAACAATATTTTATTAGATATATTGTGTACTATGATTGCATAATCTGTCTAAGAAACTCAATTTGTGAAAATATATGAGGGTTTTGGACAAGCCAGAAACTTAAACAACCTGAATGATGAAGTGAAGAGGGAGAAGAAAAGATTGACATGCGACCATATTACTACATGGGATGCTCTTGTCCCTTTGGCCATTGTTGTCCTATTATCTGCAATCTTCTTTCAAAATTGGTGGCATTTATAGTAAACACACAGAGACATAAACGTTGCTCATTTGTCCCATCCTTTCTGACAAGTTGACATCTCTGGATTATATTTGGTGCGTAGTTTATTCCTCATTGCCATGGTTGTAACAAAAAATTACTCAACAGGTCAACTTTGGAAAGTAAATACATTATTAAAATTAAGTATACTTTGTAGAAGAGCTAAAAGATTAGGATAAATGAAAATGTTCTATCTCGTAAAAGAAAACATTTTATGCTTGAAAAGTGAAAAAGTTATTGCAGCATGAATAAACTTTTCTTCATGAAGTGTTTATAAGAGAGAGAAAAAATTAAAAAATAATTAACTCTCTCTTTCATAAATTAAAATTCTAACTTCAAATTCAGTTAAGTTAAATGAGAAAAATTCTATAAAATTTAAATATGTAGTTTAGTTTATTTTAAAGAAAAACTCAGTTTATTTTATCTCCTTGTATTTTTCTTCTGTAATTATTTATAGAAAAGTTATTTCAACTTGACCTTAATTTTATAACTTTCCCAAGAAATAATGGAGGATTTTGCGGATACATAAAAAGATACATATTGGAATCAAATTTAGAGAAGAGTGAATTTCACTCAATTAAGTTTGGGCACAAATAACAGGTAAATGTCTTAATTTGGATTATGAATTGTCTAGATCTGATGTAACAACCTCACATCTACTTATATTTGTTTATAAATTTGAATACATTATAATTTTAATATATCTTTGTACAGATAAATATGTCTTATTACGTTATTATAGTATAATTTAATTGAAAAAAAATGTGTCTTCAGAATGCTACCTTCTAATTTTTCAAAAAAGTATTAGTTTAAATACAATAATTGAATTCGGTATAAACAAATTGGTTTAACATGTATCATGTGTGTGTGTGTGTGTTTAAGTGGTAAATTTGACTCGTGAATAAATACATTAGAATCAGTCTAACAGTGAGATTTAGATAATATGGATGGGATCTTAGGTTAGAATCTCAATGTCATTATTGTACACGAACAAAAAATGACCTGTTAATTCAGTAAACTAATTTTAAATATAAGAAAACTGTAAAATAGACAGATTAATATTATGTAAGAGAATGTTAATTGAATTATAGAAGTATTTTGCTACTAGTAAAAAAAAAAAATTACGTTTAACAATATGGGTACGTGCGTCATGAATATTTAATTGATGATATAAAATAAAAGCTCACAAAAACGTATAAGAGGAGAAAATTGTGCATAAGTCTTACCATTGATAAATAAGAATAATTTTGCTTTGATTTAGAAAGAAAGCAACAGAAAACGAAAACAAGATGATGAATTCAGTTTTGGAAAGGTGCGTTCCAAATGCTCCGATTCTCTTCACAAGGGTAGAATTTGTATCACAAATTTGGTTACTGCCTCTCTCTACAAGAACAAGTTTGTTATGGTTTCAACATGCTCATTATACTTATACTGTACACTATTTTCTTTAAAAATTGCATTTACTTGTCTTATTTTATGATATATGATTTCTTTTACATTCTGTACTTCCATTATTGACCAAGAATCGGATTTTGACTGATAATTATATATTTATGCAAAAGTAGGCGATGTTTGCGCAGAGCAAAGTTTAAAAAATCTCTTAAAAAGTAAAGAGAAGACTTCACAGCGGTATCTCAAATAAGCAAGTAAATATATAACAGTAGCGTGTCTGAACAAAAAGGGATGTGTTCTCATTTGCCAGAATAATAAACAGTACACCGCAGAACAATGTGAGCAACTAAGATATGCATTTTTAAATTTACAGTTCTCAATTCATACACACACAATAAACCGTAAAATTGAAACCCCCACTGTTGCCCTGTAACCTAACAAGCAATGAGTACATCCGGAACCACTTTGAACCTCTAAATCTGTAAAATCCAGCAATGCAAACTGAGTAAGAAAACAATTAAGACATGACGAATGGACAAGTTATGTAGCAGAATCGTACATGTACAAGGTATACAAACGAGAAAGGTGCTTATGCCCCCAAAATTGCTTGGATCATAGGTCGAAAACCAAATTCTGGACTTTGACGGAGGATAATAAATAAGCTATGCACTAGAATTCGTTGGCGGGTCATCTTTCCATCCTTTGGTGAGGTCATAGTTGATTGATGCAAGCTGGGAGAGATTCTGAAAACACAAAGGAAACAATAGCGTTCAATAATATTTAGGCAATAATGGGAGAGTATATAATAAGACCAAGAAGAAAACTATCGAACTAAATATATTAACAGAACAAATGCTACATGGGCAAGGTTAAAAATATTAGGCTACTTATGAAGTATAGCAAGCTCATAAAAGTCATTTTAACACATCAATCCCAGTATAGGTAACAAGAAAAGAAGGACGGATTATTCATAATCCATTCCAGTCAATTTTAATTGTTTAGCTATAGATTATAAAGAAATGAATATGATTTGAGGGAATTACCTTAAAGGAGAAATTACTAAAAGAGTAATTGACAGATGTGCCAGAATCAAACTCAGCAAGACCCCCGCATTCATCTCCCTGTTACCAAGAGGAAGGAAGTCAGCCCATAATACTTTAAATTGGTTTCGGTAAGTATTTTACGTTTAGCAATGCCTATAACTTGTAATACCACTTCATCTTGGCGATTGCTCAAGCAACTACTGCTGCCACTTAAGCTATCCGCATCACTAGAATCCTCAACATCACTGGCTGGATATACAAGGCCATCAGAAGTATTCCATGAGTAGCGACTAGTGAAGTAACTGGTATCTAGAGCACTTTCCGAAGCAGGAACAAATGCAGCCTACAAAACCAACAGAAGCATTAAATTACTCAGATCATCAAGAGAATGGCAGTAAAATTAATAATTGGCATTCATCGCTTGGGTAAACTATTACATACTTTCTGCCTGGCAAGTGTGTCCCAGTTTATATCCTTGAAGAAAACATGTTGCTTTACCTGGATCATTTAATAGTTTACAAGTTTAACATTGAGCAAAAATAAATAAA